TTTTTTAAAAAAATTTAAAAAAAAAAAAATTATTTTTTTTTTAAAAATTAAAAAAGAAAAAAAAAATTTTTTTTTTTTTTTTTTTTTTTTTAAAAAAATTTTTTTTTTTTTAAAAAATAAAAAAAAAAAAAAATTTTTAAAAATAAATTTTAAAAAAAAAAAAAAAAACCCCCAAAAAAAAAAAAAACCCACCCCCCCCCCCCCAAAAAAAAAACCCCCCCCCCAAATTTCCAACAAAACCCCCTTTTTTTAAAAAAACCCCCCCAAAACCCCCCCCTTTTTTTTTTTCCCCCCCCCCCCCCCTTTCCCCCCCGGGGTTTTTTCCCTTCCCCCCCCCCCTTTTTTTTTTTTTTTTGGTTTTTTAAAAAAAAAAAATTTTAAATTTTTTAAAAAAAAATTTTTTTTTTTTTTAAAAAATTTTTTTTAAAATTTAAATTTTTTTTTTAAAAAAAATTTTTTTTTAAAAAATTTTTTTAAATTAATAAATTGGGTTTTTTAAATTTTTAAAAAATTTTTTTTTTTTTTTTTAAAAAAAAAAAAATTTTAATTTTTAAAATTTTTAAAAAAAAAAAATTTTTAAATTTTTTTTAAAAATTTTTTTTAAATTTTTAGGGGTTAAAAAAAAAAAAACCCCCCCCCCCCCCGGGGGGGGGGGAAAAAAAAAAAAAAAAAAAATTTTTAAAATTTTAAAAAAAAAAATTTTTTTTTAAAAAAAAAAAAAAAAAAAGGGGGGGGAGGGAAAAAATTTTTTTTTTTTTTTAAAAATTTTTTTTTTTTAAAAAAAAATTTTTTTTGGGTAAAACCCCTTTTTTTTTAAAAATTTTTTTTTTTAAAACCCCCTTTTTTAAAACCCGGGTTCCAAAAGGGGGCCCCCGGGTTTTTAAAAAGGGGAAAAAAAGGGGGGTTTTTTTTTAAAAAAAAAATTTGGGGAAAAAAATTTTTTTTTTTTGGGGGTTTTTCCGGGGGGGAACAGGGGTTTTTTTTTTTTTTTTTTTTTTTTTAAAAAAAAAAATTTATTTTTTTTCCCAAGTTTTTTGGGGCCCCGGGGAAAAACCCCCCCCCCCCCCTTTTTTTTCCCCCCTTTTTTGGGGGAAAAATTGGGGGGGAAAAAAAAACCCCCTTTTTTTTCCCCGGGGGGAAAAAATTTTTAAAAAATTTTTTTCCCCCCGGGGGTTTTTTTTGTTAAAAATTTTTTTTTTTTTTAAAAAATTCCCCCTTTTTTTTTTCCCCCCTTAAACCCTTTTGGGAAAAAAGGAAAAATTGGGGTTTTTAAAAAAACCCCCCCTTTTAAAAAAATTTTTTGGGGGGGAAGCCCAAAAAAAAAAGCCCCCGGGGGGGGGGTTTTTTGGGGGGGGGAAAAAAAAAAAATTTTTTTCCCCCCCGGGGGGGGTTTTTTTCCCCCCCCCCCAAAATTTTTTGGTTTTTTTTTTTTTTTTTGGGGCCCCCTTGTGGGGCCCCTTTTGTTTTTTTTTTTTTTCCCCCTTAATTTAAACCCAAAAAGGAAGGCCCTTTTTTCCGGGGGTTTTTTTCCCCAAAAGGGGGGGAAGGGGGCGGGGGCGGGGCCCCCCCCCCCAAAAAAGGGGGCCCCAAAAAAAAAAAAACCCCCCAAAAAATTTTTTTGGGGGGTTTTTGAGGGGGGCCCCAAAAAAAATTTTAATTTTTTTTTAAGGGGAACCCCCCCTTTCCCATTTTTGGGGGGCCCCCGGGGGGGTTTTTTTTCCCTTTTTCCCCCCCTTTTTAAAATTTTTAAAAAAAATTTTGGGGCCCCCGGGGCCCCCAAAAAAAAAGGGGGGGGTTTTTTTTCCCCCCAAAAACCCAAAAAACCCCCCCCCTTTTTTAAAAAGGGGGAAAAAAAAACCCTTAAAATTTTTTTGGGGGAAAGGGGAAAAGGAAAAAACATTTTTTTGGGGGTTCCCCCCCCCTTTTTTTTTAAAAAAAATTTTTTTTTTAAAGGGGGGGAAAACCCGGGGGAAAAAAGGGAAAAAAGGGGGGGCCAATTTTATGTTTTAAAAAAACCCCCCCCGGGAAAAAAAAACCCTTTTTTTGGGGTTTGGCTTTTCCCCAAATTTTTTTGGGGAAAAAATTTTTGGGGGGCCCCGGGGGGTTAATCTTTTAAAAAAAAAATTTTTAAAATTTGGGGGGGGTTTGGGTAAGGGGGGGGGTTTTTTTTTTTTTTTTTTTTTAAAAATTTTTTTTCAAAATTTTAAAAAATTTTAAAAATTTTTTTCCCTTTTTATTCCCAAAAAAAAATTTTTTAAAAAAAGGGTTGGAAATTTTAAAAAATTTTTTTTTTAAATTTTTTTTTTTTTGGGTTTTTTTTGGGGGTTTTGGGGGGTTTTGTTTTTTTTGGGTTGTTTGGGTTTAAAAAAAAAATTTTTTAAAAAAAAAAAAAAAATTTTCCCCAACCCCAAAATTTTTTAAAATTTTAAAAAAAAAAAAAAATTTTTTAACCCTTTTTAAACCCCTTTTTTTTTTTGGGGGGGGGGTTTTTTCCCTTTAA